GGGCGCCAGAGTTGCCGCACTTCCCGCGCCCAGAACCCGCAGGTGCCGAGCCCAACGGCCCCGCGGAAGGGGAGCACCAGGGGGGCCTCCTGGGGGGCTGGTCCCGGGCAGAGCCCGCCTTGGGCCGCCACCTCTGAGGGGATGCTGAGCGGCTGCACCTGGGACTTCTCGCGGCCGCCCACCCCGCAGTTGCTGAACCCTCGGCCGCCAGCCCAGGCCCAGCTCCTCACGGGCACCCCGGGTCCGCAGAGCGTGGCCGCGGCTTCCCTTCTAGGCTCACCCGTGCTCCGTCCCCCCTGGACACACGCACGCACACCCGTGCCCTTGCCTCCCGCGGTCCCACCACATAAACCGGCCCAGAACACCTGCTTCCTCCTCCGGGAAGCCCCCCAGGTCCCCCCACTGTATTGTCCACTCCCCGAAGGAAGGTGGCCTCCCGGGGCTGCACCTGCCCCCACTGCCGTCCTGCAGCAAAGGCCCCGGGCGGGTGCGGGGTGCAGGTGTGGGTGGGCCGAGGAGGGGAGCCAGCACAGGAAGCCCCGGGTGCAGGTGGGCCGAGGAGGGGAGCCAGCGCAGGAAGCCCCGGGGTGCAGGTGGGCCGAGGAGGGGAGCCAGCGCAGGAAGCCCCAAGCGGGCTCCCCAGGTGCGGCCCTGGGCTCGTCCACCGGGCCTTGCAGGGCCCTTCTGGCTGCGGGGGGCCTCAGGCACCTCTGCAGTGGCTGTCCCTGAGGCAGGCTGCAGTGGCCCCAGCGCTCCGGAGGTCTCCGCACGACTTGCCCCCACGCCGGGGAGCCCGGGACAACCTCCTCTGCAGCCCCCGCCGCCCACTTCCGTCGCCCCCTGCCCGGACCCCCTCAAGTGGGCTGTAAACACCGACGGAAGCACCGAAACCCCCAACACCGACCTGACATGAAGGGTAGTAACCCTAACACCCTCAAAGGCCTTGATCGAAGGCAAAAAGTAGCCAAGCAAGTCGACGTGCCATCGAAATTCTATATTTTTCAACAGAAAAACAACTGGCTGTCAAGGACCAGCGCGGGCGGGCCCTCAAGCCTCCTGCGGCGCACCTGACCACCTCCTGCACACCTGACCCCCTCCCGTGCACCTGACTACCTCCCGCGCATCAGACCACCTGCACCTGACCACCTGCCATGCACCTGACCACCTGCTGCACATCAAACCACCTGCTGCCTGAAGCCGCGGAGGATGGGGTCCTGCGGTCCTGGGAAGCACCACCACCCTGGGTGTCCGTCCAGGCCCCGCGGACCCCTGGAGCCACGGCCACCGGGGACCACGGCCAGCCCCCCGCAGCCTCCCCCACCTGGGCCGAGGCCCCGCCGCCCGCACTGGCAAATCACACGCTCGGGACGCGCCCTGGGACACCTGCAGGCCGCCGCGCCCGAGAACAAAGACCATAGGTTGAAGGAAAACTCGCGTGGGATGGACAGAGATAGAAAAGGAGTGATTATTTGCCTTCCTCCAGCAGCACAGCTGCCAGCGAAATCAGAGACCATCAATTCCGACCAACTAAGGGGACCACCGCCCCCGAAACGCATCCGTGGGGCGAGCCTGGGGATCAGGGCGGTAACCAGCACTCAGCACTGGGGTGTGTGTTTGTTTAGCTGTTTGCTTTAATGTGCACATACTGAAGACCTTTTCCCTTCCCTTTGTCTCTTGGGCGGCCCTCCTTCCGGCTAATAGGAAAGTGCTCCTTTCAGTAGCATCGAATGGTCTGCATTGACTTTGTCCCCCAGTGAATACACGGCAATCAGATAATTTGTTTGAAAGACTCTAAATTGTTTGACTTCGTTCAAAAAGAATCTATAATCATGTGCTGGTTTCCAAGCAAGGCCTACAAAGCTTCCTCAATCCATAAGCAAGCGCGAGGGTATTCTCGGCACATAAAAGCCAATATCCTTGTAATTTTGTTCTAAGCCTGTCAAGCTGTTTTGTTCCATAATATCCTACTTAGAAAGTGTTCAGAATCGTCGCTGCAGCCCGGGCCTTATTCAAAGATAGGACTCAAGCAATTCTTTTCGTTTGTTTTCCTCATGGAGATATTCTTCTGCTATAAGTTTAATGCTGATCTAAAGCATTTAATCTAGCTTCTAGCTAAATAATGATTACCTAATTTTACATATAGATACTGGGAAAGCCAAATAAACAAACGTGGGTGCATTTAAATAAGGAATTCTCTTCTTTCTCTTATCATTAAGCATGGAGATTTCCAAGAGACTCGTTTTTCTTCCTCTGAGCGTAATATTCTCATGGAAATCTTCATTTATCTATAAGGATGCTCACTGCATCACACTTTAGAGCAGCAAAACAGCTAAAAATAATGAAAGCACACAAAATAGGAAATGGGTGGAATGATGAAATACCCACGCAATGGATATTTCTAAAAATATTATGCCCACGCAAATTTTTAAGAATAAAAATAAAAAATTTAAAAATATTTATTAAAAATAAATACCCACGCAACGGACATTTCTAAAAATATTTCTAAAAATGTTAATGGGAAGAATACGAAAGGACACTCAAAGTTGTTCACGGAATATTGAGATGGAATAAGAAAGATGAAGCCCAGATCTGTTACACGTGTGCACACACAAGTATGTGCATACAAACATATAAATATAGATGCATATATACCCACACATCTATATTTTTTTAAGATAATCTCAATTTATTTTCTGAATATGAGTGTATTTATTTAAATAAATATACTTAGGAAATTGAACACCAATAAAAAATTTATTTAAATAAATAAATAAATAAATATACTTAGTGGTTTAGCACAGAAAAAAAGCTTGTCAGGAGAAGTATTTTGATAATAAATCAAAATATTTAATATCAAATTTTTAATTGATTTTTTGATATTTTTTATTCTTTGAGCTTTTCTGTTTATATAAAAATGTTGATATTGCTTTCATAGTAAGGAAAAAGTTATATCTAATAAAATACATATGTCACCTGGGTGTATACAGGGGTGCACTGGCATGAAGCCACAGGCGACGGGGCATTAATTCTAAGTGGCTAATGCTCATCCTGTATCAGTCATTGTATTTTTTTTATTATTATTATCACCGTGGATATAAGCAAGATTAGAAAGGTCGGTGGCACATCACACTTGAGCACATTTCCAAAATGCTAATCAGAACAGCATCCTCTAACTACGCAGGGGCGGAGCCGAGGCCGAGCAAGTGGAGAACACCGTACTAACTCTGTGCCTGCAGAGGCCGGGGCGAAGGATGGAGCCTCTGAAAACAACCGCCTCAGCACCCCCGCCCTGAGTCCCTTCCAGCTCCAGTCCATCCGCCCTGATAGTTGGGACGGCCTTGGTGTGAGTAAGGAAAGTGGGCACCGGGCACACACAGCCTGGCCTGAGTCGGGGCCCGTCAGAGCTCCCAGGACAAGCGAGCTGCGGGGCTGCCTCCCTGGTGCCCCATGAAAGCTGTCCTGCCTTCCAGCGCAGTGACCCAGGCGGGCACCGGGGCCTCGGGCCTCGCGGTTAACAGACACTTAGGGCAGGGCCGCAGGGATAAAGGAAGGCCAAATGCCTCCCCTCAAAAGGTTGCCATCTAGACAGAGAACACGCTTTAAAGGGGGCCGTAACACATGACGGGCCTGGGCAATACAGAGGTCAGAGCAGAGCAAGGACAGAAAGTCTCTCATGACAGATGGTCTGGGGGCCTCTGGGGGGCTCTGTGGTTGACCCTCCCTTTGGCTCAGGTTGTGACCCCAAGGTCCCAGGATCGAGTCCCACATTGAGCTCCCCACAGGGAGCCTGCTTTTCCCTCTGCCTGGGTCTCTGCCTCTCTCTGTGTCTCTCGTGAGCAAGTAAATAAAATTAAAAGAAGAAAGAAAAGAAAGAAAGGAAGGAAGGAAGGAAGGAAGGAAGGAAGGAAGGAAGGAAGGAAGGAAGGAAGAAAGAAAAGAAAAGAGAAAAGAAAAGGAAAGGAAAAAGAACATTCTGTATCCTTGCAACATAAACCAAGAAACAGATATTTTTGAATTTTATTTATTTATTTTAGAGAAAGAAAGTTCATGTGAGTGGGGGGAGGAGCAGAGGGAGAGAAAGAGAATCTCACACAGGGGCGGCCCGGAGCGTGGAGCCTGACGGGGGAGGACGGGGTGGGGCTCCATCTCATGACCCCGAGGTCATGACCCGAGCCGAAACCAAGAGTCTGACGCTTAACCCACTGGGCCACCCAGGCGCCCCGAAAACCAAGAATCTCAAAGGTAGGGGAAGGCATGGAAGCACCTGTAACTATTTAAGACCATTCTCAGGTCTTCCTAATACAATGTACACATGTAGTTGACTCCTAGTTGGAAAACCACATTTGGCTGAATTTTGCATGTCATGGGGTTAACTAAATGCAACCACACTATGCATTTCATTTTCTTTTTTTAAATAAATTTTATTTATTTATTTGACAGAGAGAGTGAGCAAGCAAGCAGGGGAGGAGGTGGGCAGAGAGGGAGAGAGAAGCAGGCTCCCTGCGGGAGGGGCTCCCCCCCATGTGGGGCTCCATCCCAGGGTCATGTCCTGAGCCAAAGGCAGACGCCCAACCACTGAGCCACCCAGCTGCCCCTTCAACTGACTTCCTAGTAGCCCGGCAAAGACGAACGAAATGCAACAACTGAAAGTGTACCGTGGAAAGATCCATTTTGACCACACGTGTAGCTTGTGCTTTCGGCTTCTCAGTTCCCTGGAAGGATAGACCCCTACACGACGCAAACGTGAGAAAACGCAGCCAGACCCACGACTGCCACGTCACAGCCAGAGCGCGTGCTTACTTGCAGAGACGCCTGCTCGTAGACGGAAACTGTCTGCTAATTTCCGTGTTACTCTTGGGCAGTTCAGCTTTAGCCTGGTGCTTATTACGGAAGTAAGAAACACGGCCAACTTCAAACAACCCTCCGTGCTCACTCACACACGGGCTCATTACTACAGACTCTCGATCCCATGCTCACATCACGTAAGACCATGCCCGTACCTGAAAGGGCGAAATCTCCTTTCTGGCTTTCACTCTCTCTGATTAGAAAGGCTCCAGTCTGATTTCCTGAATATAAGAGCTGTTTCTCCGCTTCTGTTCTCTTGATCGCGCCAAAGAACCACCTAAAAAGAATCAGATGTAAACTCTCATTAACCAAACAACAGTCATTCTTTAAGGAGCAGGAGGTCTGTGAGAAGGTATCCTAACATCAGAAATGTTGGCTCTTCGTGAGTGAAACTATTACAGGGACAAACGGCAGCTCTCGACGGTTGCGGCGATTTCTGGGGACGTCTGTGACCCTCACCAGGAGTCTTTAAGGACCAGAAAACAGGAATTTGGCTGATGCCGCTAGCACGTCCCTTCTCACACCTGCGTCCTGTTCTGTCTGGAGGTAACGCGTCCTCCTCCGGGCAGACTCCAAGCCTCCGGGGTGGGCCCACCGTGTTAGGCTGCTGGGCTCCGTGCTCCCGGATTCTCATCATCAGCCCCACACTGTCCGCTGCCCCACTGACGCCTTCTAGGTGTTAGGAGGCAAACATTCCAATCGAAGGATTCATACGCTTCCCATCAAAGTGTCAACGATTAAAACTGTCGTGCTCTGGGCATGAATTCCACACACCCCCCCCCATCCAATACTGCCCAATGCCGCCATAACATGGGACGACTTTGCGTCTTTTAGAGGAAATTATCAAACATAAGGGAAATTTTTCTTGGGACGCCTGGGTGGCCCAGCAGTGGAGGGTCTGCCTGCCTTCAGGGAGTGATCCCGGGGTCCTGGGCTCGACTCCTGCATCGGGACTTATCTTGAGAACATAAAGACTCCTGACTCTGGGAAACGAACTAGGGGCGGTGGAAGGTGGGGAGGGCGGGCGGTGGGGGTGACTGGGTGACGGGCACTGAGGGGGGCACTTGACGGGATGAGCACTGGGTGTTATTCTGTATGTTGGCAAATTGAACACCAATAAAAAATAGATTTATTATTTAAAAAAATAAAATAAAATAAGAAGAAAAAAAAAAGGACTTATCTTGACCCTCCTACCCTGAACATTCCAGAAATATAAAAGTCAGACACCGAACACACAAGCTTGTGAATGTGATCAACCCCAACAGAGAATTATGGCTTTTGCCATGAGAGCCAGTCTAAGACGTGTATCAAGTCAACGGACATTAATGCGATAATAAGAGGAAGCTGCGACAACCTGCTTTGCACTGATGACCCCCCTCTCTAGAGTCACGCAGTTGATCTTCATCATTTCAGATTTTGGGTAAAAACATTTATCTTTGCAGGTATCATCGTTAAAGGTGTAGACAAAGAGAGGACGCGTAGGCTGGAGGGAAGACAGGCCGTGTGAGGAGCTGAGGGCTGGGGGAGGACTTACAGGCCATCGAAACAGGCTCCCGCTGGTGAGACAACTGGAAGGAAGCGGGGAAAGGAAGCGAAAAGAGAGACATTAAAATATAGTCATCACCTTCTAACCAGAGCAAGGCGTTTGTGCGCCTTTTTGCCGATCCTCAAGTTGCCAACTTCACGACGGTAACTCGAGCAGTTAGGATGCGCCAAGGGGCATCCGCGTGATGCACGATGCTGAAGGCCCCCGAGGTTCAAGACAACAAGGATTCGCTTTTCACTCGACCGTGTGTCCACCAAAGGTCACGCGGGGCTTGCTCCGCGTCTACCCCTGAATCTAGCGGGGCTTGGCCGCCCCCGAGCTCCACAACCGCTGGGGCAGGAGTGCAACGGGGCACAGCACAGGCCGCTCCCCGAGCTTCCCTGCAAGACCGAGACCACCGCAAACGAGTGGCACGAATGCAAAGGGAGCAGGAAACGCAATCCCGCCTTTCCCCAGGAGGCAGAGACCTGGAATGCACCAGCGACCACCCAGGGACTCCACACCAGGGACACGCACGTCCGTCCGCAGACTCCTGCTTATCTCGCTGAAATCACGGCAGGCCCGGAAGCGTTCCAGGGGGCTATGAAGTGGACTCACGGGAAAAGGGAAATGCGTGTTTTCCACAACGACAGGAATAAGTCAATACAGTAGTGGAACAAGAATTAAGAAAACCCTCAAACGGACCCCCCCCAACACACACACACAAGTTAGAGATGAAGGTACAGATTATTCAACGACCAAAGCTCCCACCGTGAAGGATCCACACGGAAAAGGCAGTGGATGCTACTTACAACATACGGCATAGTTCTACGTGGATGAAAGGCCTGATGTAAAAGGCAAACTTTCAGACTTGCTGAGGTGCCAAACTAGAGAGGGTTTCTGGGATAAAAGGGAAGGGAGGGGGGAGACATAAAAACCCGAAAGAAAAAGACCGAAAATATTTCTTACACCATAATTTCAAATCTCTGCAACAGCAAGATTACTGTGAAATAAAATTAAAATACAAGCCACCGACCTGGAGAAAATATTTGCAAAGTAGGTGACCAAGAATAGGCATAGTGTTCAGATTACACCGAGACCTTTAATCTATTTAAAAAAGAGAGGCGGGGGGGGGGGGGGATCCCTGGGTGGCTCAGTGGTTTAGCGCCGCCTTCGGCCCAGGGCCTGATCCTGGAGACTCGGGATCTAGTCCCACATCGGGCTCCCGTCATGGAGCCTGCTTCTCCCTCTGCCTGTGTCTCTGCCTCTCTCTCTCTCTGTCTGTCATGAATAAATAAATCAATCTTTAAAAAAAAAGAAAAACTACCCTCTCAAAAATATTTTTTTTAATTTTTTTTTAATTTTTATTTATTTTTATGATAGTCACACACAAAGAGAGAGAGAGAGAGAGGCAGAGACACAGGCAGAGGGAGAAGCAGGCTCCATGCACCGGGAGCCCGACGTGGGATTCGATCCCGGGTCTCCAGGACCACGCCCCGGGCCAAAGGCAGGCACCAAACCGCTGCATCACCCAGGGATCCCTCAAAAATATTTTAAAAATATATAAATAAAAAAATAAATAAAAAAGAGAGACGGGGCACCTGGGTGGCTCGGTTAGGCGCCCGACTTGTGATTTCGACTCGGGTCACGGTCTTGGGTCTTGGGCTCTGCACTCAGGGGCAAGGCTGTGCTTGGGACCCTGTCCCTCTCTCTCTCTCTACTCCTCCTCCACCCTGGAGCTCACTCTCTCTCTTGCTCTCTAAAAATAAACAAATCTTTAAAAAGAAAAGATAGGTGTTTTGTTTTTCTTTTAAAGAAACAACACAGCCGAAAAATTGGCCTAGCATGTAAGTGTAAAATGAAAGACGAATAACTAATAAAATAAGAAGCACAGTATCTGCACCAGCGTTATTATCTATACCAGCAAATATTAAAGCCATGAAATTTCACACTTCAGGGTAGACAAATTTTAAGACGTTCACATTCAAATATTAGGGAAAATGTGAAACGAGAGCCTTTGTACAAAACTAGAGGCAGCCTCACATGGCACAGCTATTTCAGAGAGCGATTTGGCAACATCTAATAAGGCTGCATATGTGTCTGCCATTCAATTTCACTTCTAGATTATAGACCATATGTGTTCAAGAACATTCACTGAAGAGTTCTAGCAACGGAAAACTGGAAACAATCTAAATGCCAACTAAATGTAAGGGGAGAGATAAACTTCGTGATAGATGTAGATAGAATACTAGACAGCAGTTAAGACGAATAAATTGAGGGACAGAAGGGAGCTGAACAACGATGCGCGCGATTATAATGCCGTTGACGTGAAGTTCAAGTGAACACATAAAAAATACTATATATTTTTACGGGTAGTCGCAGGCTTACTGAAAGCCTAGAGTTAATAGCTAATAACCTTTTTTTTTTTTTGCTCCATTTCCAGAAGTGGCAAAATTTCTTTGCACAAATATTTCAAGCGCGTTAGCAACCTGGATCAAATATACTGATCGAGCCCTTGCGTTTTCTTGATTCCGAGGGTATTGATTGTGCATCAACATTAAAAAGTGTCTGCTCAAAATGTGAATATTTAAGCCTTTACAAGAATTACGATTCATCTAGCAGATCAAACTCTTAGAAGTATGAATATACCTCATGCACCTCATCATTCTCAAGAATAAACTCCATTCTGTGTTTCATATACATACGTTACATTTGTGTTTTGTATAATCCAGGCCGTAAATGACTGTATTTTCTCTGCCCAGTATACGCACAAGCAGGCAGTTTTTGTAAATCAAAGATGCGGTGATTCTACTACATCTGGAGACAGGAACTCTATGGCAATTTGCTTTTAAGTCCTTATTTGTCCCACCAATTTTAGATTCTTGGACAACAGTTTCCTGCACTCACTTTTACAAGGCGAGTCGCACCAGTATCGACTCGGCCGTAACAATGAAATGGATATAGATACCTGGCTGGATGCGTCAGCTCACTTCATACCTGGAATGTCACCTGGCCTGGCCGAGCTAGCACCAGGAAGTGAATATAAATGCATCTTGGTTTCTGCAAGTCGAGGCATTCCATGCCACCGTTCAGACTCCAGGATGAGGCAACCCGCTGGAGGTCGGAGCACGTACCGCACGGTGGGAGCATGAGCCCCGGAGAGGCCGCCCGGAGAGCCACAGTCCCTTCCAGCCTCTGCTCGCACCAGATGGTTCCAGGCCCGCGGCCCGCCGAGGCCTCTCTCCGCGCTCTCCGTGGGCTCTGCTCCTTGCAGGCACCAACAGCGGGGGCCGGGAAGCAAGCCCGCGGCGGGTCCAGGGAGAGTCTTACCGACCGGTGCCCCTGAGGGTGCGGCCCCTGGACCAGGAGCACTGGCGCCACGTGCAGACGTGTTGGAAAGGACGTTTTCAGCCACTCCCCACACCTACCGAGCCAGAGACTGTGCGCCGGTGCCCAACAACCTGGGTCGCAAGGAGCCCCCAGGTGCGTCTGATGCCCAGTAAAACTTGAGAACTACTGAGTTATAAAAATAGTAAAAAAAAAAAAATGATAAATAAATAAATAAAAATTTATATGAGACAGCTGAGAATAATAAGTTAGAGTCTGGCGCTTACATGTGAAAATCATCCAATAAAATGACACTACACTCACACACACATTTTAATTGACCTTTTTTTTTAAAGATCGTATTTATTTATTCATAAGAGACACACAGAGAGAGAGAGAGAGGCAGAGACACGGGCAGAGGGAGA